GAGCGCCAGCCCCTAGCCTGCACATGCGCGCGTTAGCATACAGCTGGCACACGTAAAATTAAAGGTCGCGCAGTGCACGGAGGGGATAAGTGAGCGTAGCGCACACTGTGTTGAGAGGAGGAAGGAATGCATATATTGCTGGCGGAGGAAGGAAGGGAAGCTGCGGACGGCGACGGCGCATGACTAGCACCTAGTATAACATGCTCCGCATGTAAAAATGAAACAGCCACTCACGTGTTCTTACCATGTCCGTGGATCGCCAGCACGGGAAGTCAATGAATATAAATACCTAGGAGTTACAATTACAAACACTTTCTTGGTCCTCACATATAACAAATGTCTGCGCATCAGCTCGTAAGCTTGGTTTTCTGAGGCAGAAATTGAAAAAAGCCCCCTCTGAAACTAAAAATACTCGCGTACAAATCGTATATTTTGCCTAAACTAGAGTACACATCAGTGGTTTGGGACCTATTCTACAAAACAGATATTCAAGAAATTGAAATGGTTCAAAGACACACTGTACGTTTTATTTTTTCTAAGTTTAAATTAACTGATTCTCCCACAAAATTATTGAAAGACAACGACATCCCTGTACTTGACGAACGTCGCAGAATCGCATGCCTAAATTTTTTTCCCTCCCTTTTTAATTGTAAGCTGAAGATTTCTGTCCACAAATACATACAACCATTTTCTCCTCGCGCATCTAGGCATCGTCATATGTATAACCTGCTACCATACTCTACTCGAAGTAACATCTTTAAAAATTCTCTCTTTCCCCGAATAAATATTCAACGGAATAACTTACCATTTGATGTCGTTTCATGTGATGACTTGGAGAAAGCATTGCTCTTAGCATCCAAACCATGACATAGGGGCACCTTCTCCACATTTGTAGTGCTTGTTATAATGTCTGTACTTTGTTTTCATGCAATATTACTCCTTTGGATTTTTAGTCTTCAGTACTTGTAATACTTCAGGCGTTTCTGTATCTATAAATTTGGCTGTGCGAATGTTTATGCTATTTTTATTCTCACTTTAAGGCATCACTTTGTTTTTGCCGTTATCTATTTTTATGAAGGAGTTGCTATATTTTTGTTACATTCCTTGTATCACCCGTTTTGTATTCTAGCAAATTTGTTTATCGCAATACTTTTTCTCGATGTTTGCATACCTTGTTTATTGTTATGTTTCCCACCTGTCTGGTCTTCAGTGACCGCAGTATTTTCTAAATAAATAAAAAAATAATAAAGGCCGTGGTAAATTGTAGTGAAGAGGACTAAAATAAGTTGGCCGCCTATACTTAAGTGGGCAGCACAAACCTTAGAAACCTACTAGTGTGCCGCTCTCGGCGACACTAAGAATTTGTGTACTTGCTGTCGTCAGGGCTTCTTTTAAACGTGTGCATAGGCATGCACTCATAACCAATATGTTGGCGCCCTGTAGTGTCGACAAGTGATTCGACAACTACGCTGTCTAATTCAACGTCCGTTACTCTTCGTCTGGCGGGTATGGAGTGGCAATCCGCTGCAGTAGTCATCACTGCGGCAACGCTTTCGGGGGCTCCATCTTTTGGTTTCCCTAACGGTGCAGCCGGAATCTACAGTATACGATTGGCGCCGTGGCTGCGGTGAACGGGAGGATGTGCGAAGTGTCTGCCACGGACTAGATTGGTGTCCACCTGCCCAAAGCGAGCGGCTGTACTAAGTGCAGAATTCTCAACTGCGTCGAAATCAGCGCAGTTGAAAAGGTGCTGGCGGTGCCGTCCAAACGGGTCTTGCAGATGATTCCGCGAGGTGCCAAAGACCATGATTTGTGGCAGTAACAAGCATTATGTGCACTGTGGTCGCAGTTGAAGCATAGAAGGCGGTCATCTACAGTTCTTCACTCAGCCTGGTTGCAAAGACGCGGAGAAAACCATTGGTCGAAGACATTCACTTATTCTCAGCGTGCTGACAGAGCAAACGGAATGTACTCCAATGTTTTCAAGCTCCTCTTGAACGTTGATTTGAGTGACAGGAACAATAACAGGGGTGGCACTGCTAGCTGTGTGAATAAAATGCTCAGGGCGCCATTGCTTCCAGTTCACAATGAACAATGTGAATTAGGTCTTCCGGTGTCAATGAACGTCGATGTGTGGAGTGTTCTTTGCAAGTCAGCGTTGCAGCCACGTTTGGGAATTTAGCAAACGGCTGCAGAACGTGGCGGCTTTTCGCTTTCTTAGACTATATAATGACACTCCTTGATGATTGCACCTACGGTAAAAAAAAAAAAGCTTTGCACATCAGGAGGCAGCGAGCGTCGCTGGCAGTTCCCTTCAGCACGTGTTCGACCTTCTATGTTTCCGTCATGTCACTGTCGGCCTATCAGCAGAGAGCCAGCACGCCCAGGTTGTGTGAGAAGTATGACTCGTAGAATGTTTCGTACGGCAGGTCAATTTTTTGGCGTCAATCTAATGGCTAAAGGGCTTGCCAAATATCTAGCACATCTTTTCTTTGCTTTCATTCTATCTAGTGAGTTTTTTCTTATTTTCGGCAGCCGCTTTTACCGTGCTTTTGAAGCAAGACAACGCCTTAGCCAATGTCCAGAAATCGCTTGACTCCGGAGGTCCCGTGAATTTGGAAGATCGCTAATGTTGTTCTTATTTTCAAATCGGGTAAGAATGAAATCATTTCTAGCTACCGACCTATTTCATTATTATCCACGTGCTTCAAGTTACCCGAGTAAATTATTCACAAGCACATTATTCAATACCTAACTGACAACAATATCCTTTCACAGCATCAGCATAGTTTCCGCAGCGTTTTTTACACTGTCACACAATTGATTGAGTTTACACATGACATCGCCTCATCACTTAATAACAACCAACAAGTCGATGCCATTTTTATTGATTACTGCAAAGCTTTTGACATGATATTTCATAAAAAACTGCTCAAGCTTCGTAACCTTCTTACAGGCCCACATGCTGACAAAAAACGTGATTGGATTACGGATTATTTGCACCTAAGGAGTCAGTTTGTTCGCTAAAACCACGAACAGTCGTCACAAGCTCATATTTCTTCAGGTGTTCCACAAGGCTTTGTCTTGGGACCCCTTTTATACATAATTTACAATAACGATGTCACTCTGGTGGTCATTACCACTCCCGTTAATCTCCGCCTATACGCCGATGGCTGTGTATTGTATTCCATTATACGTCACTGACCAAGTTTTGTTTAATGATGTGTTTTCTTCCTTTTGCGAATGGAGTAGAACTTGCCAAACGAGGCTTAATTTTCAGAAAACTATGTCAATAACTTTTACAATTAAATAGAAGCCAATGCAGTTTAGATATGGCGACTCCAATCACAGACTAGAAAATTTCAGGAATTTATGTATCTTGGTGTAGTATTCTCTCCTAACTTGAAGTGGCACAAACACATCGACCTTATTTCTGCAAAATCGCTTAAGAAATTACGTTACTTAAGTAGAACGCTAAAAGGCACCACAAAAGAATGCAAGCTTAAAGCCTTCAAATCACTGGTCAGGCCTTTTCTTGAATAGGCGGCTGCAGTGTGGCCACCACATCTTGCAATTGACATAAACTTGAGGCCATCCAGCGAAAAGTGATTAGATTCATTTTTAAGTGTTATGACCGTGATTTCTTCCTTTCAGAGCACTATCGGGCTTTATTGCTAAATGGTTCAGAACACAGACGTATGTGTGATCGGCTTACCTTGCTACATAACATCGTGCACTACTCCGTTCGCATAGCCACCGTCCATTTCGTTCACCAATCATCCTACCCATGTCACTCGCTGATAGAATTTATTGAACATTGTGCTATTCAGATAATTTAATGATTGTTATAAATACTCTTTTTTGTCACAGTTGACACTTGTAATAATCTGGACACTGCATTGAAACGACTAACGCATGCGCTGTTTGTTAAAAAAGTGTAAAAATAAGTAATTTGATGTTTTTAGTTTTGCTATTGTTCCTTTTGTTTGATCATTTATTGTTTGTTGAACAGCTGTCTAATTACGTAATTGTATGTTTTTTTATTTCGGCTCTTTTTGTTCGTTTATTGTAATCACTTCTCCAATGTCTCCAACATGAGACAGCAGTATCTGTAAATAAATGAAGAAAACTAAAGTGAGGCATCCCATTGGTTCGGTGCACCCACGCGTTCAAACATTCCCAACAAATCTCCAGCGTCGACGCCACCGCTCCCGTATAATGTGCCGTGATCCTAAGACGCCAAAAATTGTATGATGGTGGTGGCGCGTAGGAAGAAAACGGTGACGTTTACGCAGAGGGCTCGACACTATTTAAGGCTGCGAAAGTGATGAGATGTCCACTGAGAGTTTCATTGCCTGCGTTTGTACCGAACACCTTTTACCTGTATGATACGGGGTTGCCGGCCTATATAGAAGGCGCACTTACTGATAAAAACACAGGCAAGGGTCCATATGACTGACTAACACATTCGTGCGCCCGCCTACGTCTTCTGCCTTTCGTCGTCCTTCACTTCATCTCCGTAACCAAATCGACAAGGTAAAAAAAAAGGAGTAGTGCAAAGAATCACATGGCGGGTAACATATCAAAACAGCACACAGCGCAGACAATTTAATATTCTTAATTACGCACTACCAATTAGCCCATCAGCCTCTTGTTAAAAAATGGAAAGCCTATGCTTTTGTATCTGGGCGAATTCTGGCGCTTATAATCGTGAATGTGTGCCTGCCTTTTGAATTGTGATTGTGTGCCACGGTGAATGTGTGCCTGCTTTTTTTTAATAAGCCACTAAAGACAAGTACTTTGAACCTGCTACCTATTTCATGTCAAATCATACATCCTTTAAAATATCCCCAGTTTTGTATTCTGTGGCCTTAGTTTTTCTAAACTGATTAACACGATTCGTTTTCTGCACACATACTGGCACGGTTAATCCCTGCGACGTGAGCTAGCGGAGTTTTCCTAACTTTCTAGAGCCATTCTCTTGATGGTCCTGCTCGCAGGTGACCACACTGGTGCTGTACCCTACACACGGCCTGCACATCGTTCAGCGAGGTCTTCCGCCCCCTCTGGATGTGAGCAGCTTACGGGCGGTGTTCATTGCTGGAAGTTCGATCCCACAACTGGTGCTCAGGCAACTGGGCGAATTGTTCCGAGGTTGTCTCATCATTCACGGTGAGCTGAGCGCCTCCCATGCTTGTTTCATGCGTATAAGACACAAAAGTGTCTACAACGTTGCCAGTCGTTGGTTCATTACTCTATTTCCAGGGTATTGTCGGAAATTTTCGCGCATAGTAAGGTGGGCGGAAGCGCGATTTTCTTAACAGGAGTCGGGTAACTTTGCACTTTTGCCTCGTCATCTGTCGGCGAAAGTCGTTGACGATCAGCTGGGCAACATCGCCAGTTGATAAATTGTTAGCCCGAGGGTAACATTCGTAAATACATCTAAAATTATTTCTGCTTTGAATAACGCTGGGACATTCCTAATTTTCACGTAATCAGCGCACGGCAGACGCGAAAGATACTACGGCAAGGTTTCGAGGGCTGCATGAAGAATATTATTCATGAATACAAACAAAGAGGGTATTTCTGGCTTTCGCGTGATATTAGGTAAGTACGCAAAGGACCATGCTCGTCTCATCCTTGACGGCTGATGAGTAGATGAAAAAAACGTCCCCCCTCTTCTCCTATGACAAGGCAGCAACCTGTGATTTTCTCAGCTGAAGATTTTACCGTTTTTAGTATTATTACTCTGTTACTGCATAATCATGCACAGTTGCAGTAATACTGTCGTGACATAAAACTTTGTAAATTTGCAACCGACCTGTCTCAGCTTTGGCAAATAAAATAACGTTAGATAACCAGCTTTTTATGTGAGCCAACTTTTGCTGCTTCAATACCGCAGTCTTGTTTTAGTCATTTCTATAACTAACCTGTTTACCCTTGCCCCTAAATCCCGCATGTCCACCTAGAATACTGCCCTCACATGCACTCACGCGGATGCTTTCACATTCAAATAAACGTGATGCGTCACTTGCTCACCTTCCACGTGCATCTGCATTGCTTTTTTTCACTGAATTTCGCTTCATATCTGCATTTGCACGGGCAACTTGATCTTGCTTGAAACGGCGAAGTACATCTCCTTGTATTATTGTAAAGTGTACCCTTGCTTTCCTTGCGCCATTTCGGGCTTTCCTAAAGCCGGCTTTGGGTATGACCGCTCTTCAATTCAATTTTTCACCTCTCCGATGTTTAGCTTACCGCTCTTTGACAACACGTTGCTGACACCGTCAGCAGCATTCTTGCTAATAAGCCTCATTGTTCTTTTATCAAAAATGAGTCAACCCTTCTCTCATATTGTTACCTGCACGCGTTGTCTGACACTTCGCTCTACTTCAAGTTTCTTATTCTCTCAGAAAATGTTTTAATCCAATTTTCAAAGCAGCTGCAGACTTCAGTGCCACGGTACGTCTGCATGTGGTACTGTGAAGCCTAGGCTGTACCTTTTGAGAGGCGAAGATGCTAGGGGTAGAGCTCAATCTAGTGTGCAGCGTAACCACCCTTGCAACGCCTGCGTATACGCTCCGCGCAGTCTTGTCTCCTACTATTCCCCCTCTCTTGTCTCGCAGCGCCAACGCAGGCAGCGTCTGTTAGTGTGTTTCTTGATAGAAAACGCCGACTGTTCATGCTGCACATTTCCTTGGCTAACGCATATGTACAGGTACTGAATCCTGACTTTGAAGGTAGTGCCGGTGGGAGCTTTCTCCTGTACGTAGTTGAACAACAACAATTCGCACCATGCCCGTTAAATAAAAGCGGACTGAGGGTATCTGTGTCCAATCAGAGTCTTCTGTCTATCACTGCTCATTAACAGCGATTGACATGCTCCAGGAAGAAACACTGGTTCATCACTGCGTACTCTATGCCTCGACAGGTGTCTCTTGTGCGCAGCGACGTGATAAGAGCCAGCGTCAACGTTGCCGCGAGTGTAAGCGTTAGCACCTGCTGCTTCGCATCTACAAACGGTTCCCTTTAGTAGGAGATGATGTTATTTTTATGATTACGAATCATCATTTTTAGGAGTAGGATAATATTTATGGTAATAGAATGATTGGGTATCGCGAAGTGCGGTAATTTTGAAACTGGTCAAGGGTACCTTCAGAAAGTTTGTTGCAAACTCTGTTTGCCCCTAACATAGCCTATTAGTACTTAAACCTCACTACAATCTGAAGTTTTTATTTGTGGTGATTGTAAAATAAATGCGAACATATAGAAGTGGACGGGAATATAGCTTGCCACCGAAGAATCACAACCCGCGATCTTCGAATAACACGTTCAATGCTCTGCGGCAGTCATCTTTCGGTTCACTTCATGTGCAGCGGTGATCACTGTTAGGGGGAACACGGCTCAGCGTGGCAGTGCTCTGCGGAACGCCAGTGCAGCCGGCGCGGCCGCGCATCAAATTTAAGTGGCGGAAGCGCAAACGAGCGTGCCACTTTTGTTGTACTACAGATAAACGAGAGCGGCACTGAGCTACTACGGAATAGGTGCGCTCGAGCGATGTAGCCAACAACGTAAAGCAGGTCCCGTGTATCCGTGTGCGCATGTGTCGCTACGCTTCGATTCGTGCCCGCGCCAGCACACTGGCACTGCGCGCAGCACGGCCACGCGATCACATGTTCCCCCTAACAGTACTCACCGCTGTACGTATGTGCAATTCAACAGAGGAGCGTCAGTCGGCGCCGCTCGTACATATTGCAGCAAATTCTGAGCACGTTTTTCCTCCCTGTTCGCGTCACGTAGGACGCAAGCTTATCACAAGCTCGCAGCCGGCCTGAAGGCACCTAGTAAGCCAGAACAAGACTTTTGCTGTGGGTGAAGGTATGAAGGGAAAATTTAACTGTTTGTTCTTGTTTGCAAGACAGCATCACTAACCAATAATGATGCCAACGAAAGTATATGGGATGGTATTAGTGGTAACTGTAATGTAATTGTCAGGAACGTAAAGCAGACGGAAAGCTAAGCACGACGTACAAGAATTGTACCCCTTTGGGCTATTGAGCCACACATGCTTAGGCATATAGAGCGTGTTTTACATCTGATACTTTACACAGCGTGCACAGATATGCCATGAATAGGTTCGTAACTGTTTTTCCAACCAAATAAAAATGTCAATTTGCTGGGATATTTCAATATCTGTAACGCTTGCAAAACAATGGGAACCGTAGGGGCCATAGTCTTTACTAATCCGTCAGGTGCACAAGCACGTAATCACTGTACAGAACCATGACACGCTTCTAGCAATAAAAACGCTTCGAACCTGTTTCATATTTTATAGTAATAAATTGTTAGCGGTGCACTTAACCTGTTTTATATTGTATAGTAATAAATTATTAGCGGTGCACTTTTCATTGTCAGAACAGTATTGTATTCAAGTATTCGCTTTGAAATTATGTACATGCAACGTTCAGATCTTGGGAAAATTCGTGGTGGTGCCTTGCCACATCATACATTCCCAACTCACGCAGAACACGGCACTTTTAAGCCACAGGAGCATTCGCCCCAGAATGCTTCTTGCTCCAACTTGTGCTGCATATCCGGTACTTTGCAGGTTATGGTCTCACAGAAGTTTGCTGTGCCATTGCCTACACTCGAGGACAATGTCATGACTTCAAGACAGCAGGAATCCCAATGCCGTACGTGAACATCAAGGTATTAAAAATTGTTGCATTGCTTAAAGTTTGTATTTGAAAATACAATACAATCTAAAATCTGGATGCTTGCATCTGTGTGTTGCTGGCATGACAACGTTTATTTAAATACATTCTAGCCGTGTGGGGCTTTTATATTGTTCCAAATTTATATAGCAACTGCTACTATAAAAATCGCAACATATCTATATAGTGAATGATGATGACTGGGACGAAGCGGTCATCTGTCTGTTCGTTTGTGCATGCGCATGGCCATCCGTGGGTGCGGCCGTCCATCTGTTCGTCCTTCCATCCGTCTGTCTATTCATCGTCTGTCCCTCACTCAGTCAGTCGGTCGGTCGGTTGCTTGGTCAAATCAAGGCAGCTCCAGTCAGGTCATGTCAGGTCATGTCAGGTCAGGTCAAGTCAGGTCAAGTCAAGTCAGGTCAAGTCAGCCAAGTCAGGTCACGTCAAGTCAGGTCAAGTCAGCCAAGTCAGGTCACGTCAAGTCAGGTCAAGTCAGGTCAAGTCAGTCACGTCAAGTCCGACAGACTGTCTGTCTCTCTGTCTGATGACAAGCATGAGACGCTGCGACGCTCCACACCCACCGCTCTGTTTCGTCCATGCCCCACCAACAATTCGTCACGTAGGGCGAAGATCCAGGAGACTGAGAGACACTCGATCCCCGCGCACCCAGGCACAGCTCGTGAAGCAGCCAATCGGATGGATGGATGCATGGATTCTATGAGCACCCTCTTTATAACGATGCGGTGACATGTGTCGCACCAGGCCAGCAGGAAAACTAATGAAAACTTTCTCTATGTTCGCCTTAACTACTTCAAATAGATCGATCTAATTATAACAAAAAATATAAACTCGTGTTTTGTCTCTACGCCTCTTCCGCTAAAATGACCTCGTTTTCTCGTTATTTCTGTTCTTTAACGCTAATTTTCTTTTCCAAATACCCTAACCGTCTCCTTCTTGCGTCTATCGTGGACGAGTTCAGCTTTTCCATGTTTGTCCCTAAAACTCAAAGCCATAAGTAGGCTTGCATCCACACGTACACCTGTGTGGTTATCCCCACACTCAATCACAACGTGTTTGATCATTTTTTAGCTTCTCTACAGCATGTACATTGTTCCTCTTCATTCTAGAGTCTCGCTTTATGAGTACGCGTTTGAAGAGAACCAGATCTCGATTTTAACAGTGAAGTGCTTTCCTTTGAGTTATAAAAACTCCCCCGTCCTGTTTCCTTGTTGTCGTTTCAGTAGCTACTGAGAGCCGGCTGCTTTTCTATTGCTGTCATTTAATAAGTCAACTTCGTCTCTCTGACTTTTCGGTAAATGCTCATTGTTGTCATTTCACCCACACTGCCAGCTGTAGATTTACTGCTGAACCTCCTCGTTCTTTTTCTCCACTTTGTGTCCACGTGCGTCCTATAAAAATACCTGAACGCCTTTTCTGCCTATCTACTCTCCTTCATTGTCCTACGTCTCTCTTCAAATCTCACTTTGGTCTGAATTTTCTTAACTTCAAGCCTGTTCATTCCATATCCCCCTTTACAACTTAATTCGTTCTCTTCCCGTGAGCGCCCAACGCGGGGCGTCCAAGAGTCATTTGATTCACATCTTTTCACAATTGCACCGTTGACTTCATGCACACCACTGAGTTCCCAAATGTAAGCCCTGGAACCATGACGTATTTCCACAGACCTCGAAGCACTTCGTACCTACTGTATCACCATAATGCTCTGTGCTTCTTATTTGCAGCATTTCTCTTTCTTATCGCTTCTGCTGTTTTTTCCTGTGCCTCGAAATATCTATCGTCCTAATTTATCCACATTGATTGATATGTGCAGTTTAACGTCCCAAAACCACCATATGAGTATGAGAAACGCCATAGTGGAGGGCTCCGAAAATTTTGACCACCTGGAGTTCTTTAACGTGCACGCCTAATTTATCCACACTCCGAGATATTTTTACTCCCTACCCTCGGCAATTCTCGGTCCTGTATTGAGACCGCCTGGTCTTTGCGATCATAGAACATAATCAATCCACATTTTGCTGCATAAATCTTGGTCCTAGAGCCTCGCCTTCTCTACCGCATTTATCTGCCAGCCGCCTGAATATCGTCGTGTTTGTCTGCAAATGGGAAATTATCATCTGCATCAAATATTCATGAAAGCCTCTATTCAACAATCACGCTAGCTTGTTTTTGTCACAGATTAAACCCAAAATTGCTACGTTCAAGTGCCTCTTGCATCCTCACGGTGTACAGCATATATAACAGGGGGGACAAAGGACATCCCTATCTGAGCTCCTTGCTGATTTCGACGCGGTTGTTGCTACTTATTCCTTCCCATTGTATGCAAGCTGCATTTTCTCGGTATATTGTCCTCAAAAGCTGTATGCCCTCAACACCTCTGTCCACTTGCTTCATTATTTCTCAAAAAAATTCCCGAGTAACGTTGCCATGTGTCCCAGTGATGTCCAGATAAGCTACATGTAAGGCCTGTTTTTTTATTTTAGATATTCTTTAGGCTAAGTATGAACAAACAGGTTATCGCCTAATTGCCTGTCAATTTAGAATCATTCTCAAGTTCTCCCAATATAGTATCTTGCTGTGCCCACGTTTTTGTTTTTAATTTTACTGCCTGCATCACCTGCCTGTATAGCACAGATGTAATGGGTAGCGGTCTATACTAGCAAATGTTAACCTTTTCTTTCTTGCCTTTAGAGATTAGGTTCATTTGGGTTCATTTTACTTTTCCGCAAAGTGTGTGGTATTTCTTTTTCCTGTAAGTCATTTTCTACTGATTTGAGCAGTGGGTCTTTAGTGATGTTTCCCAGTTTGTTAATGCGGCTGACGGATAGCCCATCTAAACGTGGAGTAGTGCGCTTAGAAATTTTTCCATCGGCCTTCATGTAACTGAAATTCTCAAGTACTAACTTTTCCTCAGTACTGAATCTTCTCCGGGTAGTCTCCTGGGCAATCTTTTTAATCGAATCTGTTGTTACCTTTCGGATGTAAGCTAGTGCTTGGCACCCTTCTAATTTATTTCCTCCTTCATCGAACTTATGCTGTTGCATTGTGACAGACTTCCTACCTAACGCTTTTAGGCGGCTCCAAAATGTTCTGGGCACGCCCTGCTTCGTTTAGCAAATCTTCGTCAACAAACATCCACAATCATCTTTACCTTTTGCCGAAACCAATTCCTGCAGAATGATTTTTTTTCTTTGGATACATTTCTTATAATTCGTTTCATTTATACTCTAGCCACTTTTCCCTTTTTGCTTGTCTATGCTCTCATCATGCCTCACGTCATTTCTCGATTGCTTCCCAGATTTCTCTGTTTCCCAAACTTTACGTCTTTGCCTTTCTTTTCGAGCAAATAACTTTCTACTCGTTTTTCATTTCCCACGTCATTAAAAGTAACAGCTGTCTATACTCCTAGTCTTCGCCAGGCAGTTGTCCTACTTCGTCCTCGACTCTTGCGGCTATACTTGCTTATTTATGTCATTAAAATAAGAACTTCCATAGTTCGAATCTATCCCTATTGCAAAAACCAGCGCCACTGAGTACCAGCGTTCAGTGCCATAACTGACTATAAGCCCAGTATGGCGCTGGTACCAGCATCTCCCAGCGCAGGTACTAGGACGCTGGAGTGGCAGTGTCCCAGTACACTGCGCAAAATAGATTCACAAAGTTAAAACTGGGAAGCCCATTTGCCATAAATAAATAAATATATAAGTAAAATAGCCCGCATTCATATTGAAAGGACAAAAGTTAAAAGTACAAAAATAAAACACTTCCTGACGGGGTTTGAACTCGCCACTTCCTGATTTCAAACCGAGTATGCTACCCAGTACGCCACGTGAGAACATGCACCTGGGGTTAAAAAATGACTATTTATCCGAAAAAGCGCCGTTCAACTTCATTTTCACAAATTGCACAGTCAAGACTGACACAATCAACATCATCATCATCGTCAGACTGACTACGCCCATTGCAGAACAAAGGCTTCTCCTATGTTCCGCCAGTTAGCCCGGTCCTGTGCTTGCTGATGCCAGTTTATACCCGCAAACTTCTTAATCTCATCGGCCCACCTAACCTTCTGTCTCCCCTTAAACCACTTGCCTTCTCTGTGAATCCAGTTAGTTACCCTTAATGACCAGCGGTTATCCTGTCTACGCACTACATGCCTGGCCCGTGTCCATTGACTCTTCTTGATGTCAAATATGATATACTTAACCCCGTTTGTTCCCTAATACACTCTGCTCTCTTCTTGTCTCTTAGGTTACACAAATGACGGCGATGGTATAGTGGTTAGAGCATCCACCTAGCATGCAAAAAGTCTGTGGTTCAAATCCAACCAGACAAAAAAATCCGCGTGGTGATGGAACTGCATTAAGATGCCTGGGGTGCGGCCTCACCTGTAACCACCGCCGGTAACGCACTCCCTCGCCAGAGAAGGATTGGCCACCCTGGTGCAGTATCTGAAACCAGGGTAGGCAATCCTTCTACATGCGTACGTCAACTAACTTACGGCCCTCAGTTCCCAGCAGCGGCGAAGCGACTGACCACGGCAGCGGTCAGATCTGCAACACAGCAGAGGGTGCTAAGAATCTCTGGATCTGGACAGGCCTCCATTGGAACCTTAACTTAGCAACGTTTAACGCAAGAACCTTATCTAGTGAGGGAAGTCTAGCTGTACTATTTGATTAGCTAGAGGGTGTTAAATGGGATATAATAGGGCTCAGTGAGGTTAGGAGGACATATGAGGCTTATACGGTGCTACAGAATGGGCAAGACCATTGCTATCAGGACTTGGCTGACAGAAGAGAACGGAGAGTAGGGTTCCTAATTCAAAGAAACATGGCTGGCGACAGAGATGAATACTATAGCATTAATCAGAGGGAAATAGGTATTGCAATTAAACTGAATAAGAGATACAATATGAAAGTGGTACAGGATTACGCGCCTACATCCAGCCATGATGACGCTTCAGTTGAATGCTTCTAT